CAATTATAATGTAATCGCTGCAGCTTGCGATCAAATATGTATGGATCCTCTCACATCAACTCCCTTTGGTTCACCTTGTGGTTGTGTATTTCCTATGAAAGTCAAACTTACACTGGATGTAGCTCCTTATGCTGTTTTCCCAGTAATGAGCGAGTTAGAGTATGAAGTTGCACTAGGCACATACTTAGAACAGAGTCAAGTGAAGATAATGGGTGCAACTGCTGACGTTCAAAATCAGGGAAGAACTATTGTTGATATTAACTTGGTTCCATTGGGAGAGAAATTTGACAATACAACTGCAGCCCTGACATACGAGAGGTTATGGCATAAAAAAGTTCCTCTAAATAAGAGCCTTTTTGGTGATTATGCTGTCGTGTACATTACATATCCAGGTAGTTGTTTGCTCCTAATAACATCTTCTTTACCAATACCATGTTACTGTTTGAGACTGAAGCTGTTCGTATCAGGAATTCCATCTTCACCACCATATGGAACTTCAATTGGGAGCGGTCCCAGTGAAAATGCTGATGGTAGTTTGCCAGTCAGCGCCAATTTTGCTAGCAAGAACCAGAAAACAAATCTTAGAACCATAATCATCATTGCTTTGTCTTCGTTTGTTCTCTTGCTGGTTTTGGTTGGAGCATTTTCTGTTACTCTGAAATGGAGGAAGAGTAGGAGACCATCAAGTGCAGTTGGCCCAGCATTTACATCTTCTCTGAACAAGAGATCTGGTATTAGTTTGAACCTCTTTTTGACATTTAACAATTAATTATTATGGTGTTTAAATTAGTCTTAACTTCTGTTAGTGCTGGATATAAAAACCATTAATGTAAGTGTCACTTCATCTGCTCAAACTTTTGGCAGAGTTATTCATACCACGACATTAGAGCCTCTATGGCCACGTGGACTGTTCAATCTTTGTTGTCCATATTCTTCTTCTAAGTAAAATTTAAATATCAGCAGCAGGTTGGGTTAAACATGTCATTGTGCATGCTTTTAGCCCGAAGGGAGGTTTTGTGTGAGGGTTGTTAGATATAAAAACATGTCATTTTCACCTATAACAAGCTTAAGCTTTCCAGATAATTTGTTTATGACAGTCTGATTGCTAATAATTTATTGTACATTATCCTGGGCTAATGGCCCTATATTATTCCTTAGTTTGGTTGTGTCTCCGAGTGCAGTTTCTTTCATTTTACTATGCCGTTCTTATCATCTACATAAAATTATGTCTATTTACGCCCTGTTTCGTGGGAAAGTGATGTTTGTACATTATGAATTTGCATCATGTTGATCTGTTTGGCTTTGAAGTTTTACCTACTGTTACTACTTGTTGATGTTGCTTTTGTTCCACACCTTAATTAGTTTTCAGTTATTTTCATGTGTAATCTTTCTTGGTTATCCGTATAAAGTTGATTATATAATAGTTGGAAGTAAATGTAAATGGATTGATACTTATAATGCAGGTTTGGGGTCTGTACTGTCAAGCAGTATTACGAGCTCGACATCAGTGTCTCTCATGTCTGCAATGCCTACTTCCATTCTCTCTGTTAAAACATTTTCACTGTCTGAGATTGAGAAAGCAACACATAAGTTTAATTCAAAGAGGGTATTAGGGGAAGGAGGATTTGGACGTGTGTATAGTGGTACATTAGAAGATGGGGCTGAAGTTGCAGTGAAGCTCCTTACAAAGGATAATCAAAATGGAGATCGTGAATTTATTGCAGAAGTTGAAATGTTAAGCCGTTTGCATCATCGCAATCTAGTGAAACTTATTGGTATTTGCATTGAAGGGCGCAGGCGTTGCCTGGTGTATGAGCTAGTTCCTAATGGCAGTGTTGAGTCCCATTTGCATGGTAATATATTTTCACCAGCTCGGGAGCCTCCGGCACTTTATATGTCTTTGCTATCTGCAAAATCAAATTATTTAAATGCTCACTATTGATCCTACAGGTGATGACAAGACTAGGGGACCTCTAGATTGGGAAGCACGGATGAAAATTGCCCTTGGGGCTGCGAGAGGATTGGCTTATCTTCACGAGGATTCCAATCCCCGTGTAATTCATCGAGACTTCAAAGCTAGCAATGTGCTATTAGAAGATGATTTTACCCCTAAAGTTTCTGATTTCGGTTTGGCACGAGAAGCAACTGAAGGCAGTAATCATATTTCTACCCGGGTGATGGGGACTTTTGGGTAAGTGTAAATAGACTTTGTCAACCATATGTTTTTTTTACACACTGCTCGTTAACCATCAGTTTTTTTCAAATGCCTTCTTCTTTCAAGTGAACAATTTATCTATATAAATGCATTATGCTCTATGATTGCGAGGCATAATTGTAATTGGTTGATACATTTTTTTTATACACTGCCTGTTAACCATCCGTTTTATTCAAACGACCTCTTCTCTCAAGTGAACAATTTATCTTTGTAAAAATGCATTCTGCTCTATGATTGCGAGGTGTAATTTGTGCCTGTAATGAATTGACTGGGGTGGTTGTTGTTGAAATGACGGCGGTTGCATTATTTTTTCATGCAATGCAAATTCCAAGCCTTAACTTGATGCATTTCTATCTATTTCTTTTACAGGTACGTTGCCCCAGAATATGCAATGACAGGCCATTTACTGGTTAAAAGTGATGTTTATAGTTATGGCGTTGTGCTTCTTGAACTTCTCACTGGCAGAAAACCAGTGGATATGTCTCAACCTCAGGGACAGGAGAATCTTGTAACTTGGGCGCGGGCACTGTTGACCAGTAGAGAAGGTTTAGAACAGCTAGTGGATCCATCTTTGGCTGGAAGTTACAACTTTGATGACATGGCAAAGGTAGCAGCTATTGCGTCAATGTGTGTTCACTCCGAGGTCACACAGAGACCTTTTATGGGTGAAGTTGTGCAGGCTCTTAAACTGATATACAATGACACAGATGAGACCTGTGGAGATTATTGTAGTCAGAAGGACTCCTCTGCTCAGGAATCTGATTTTAGAGGTGAGCTTGCCCCTTCTGATAGCAGTTGGTGGAATGGTGGAGGATTAACGCCTCGATTAACTTATGGACAAGCATCTTCCTTCATCACAATGGAATACAGTTCTGGTCCACTGGAAGATATGGAAAACAGACCGTTTTCAACTTCAAGCTTTAATGGAGATGAGATATCCTTACCAATTAGGCATGGAAATAGATCAGGTCCCTTAAGAACGATCCGAAGCAAGTTATCTTTATATAGATTTTCAGGAAGTCGGAGTGAGCATGGGGAGCGTTCTTCTAAGCGAAGTTGGGTATGATGGTTACGGGGCTTAAGGTTTGGTGTATTTTTAGTGTATTTGAAATGTACAGTTCCTAAAGGAAACCGAACAATTGATTGAGTGACTATTTAGCTTAGGCATCTCAAATTTCTGCAGTTTTCATGTTAAAAGGTTGGAGAGATACAGAATATTGACTAATTTTGAAATATTGATTCATTTTTATACAAGGAAATGTAACTCTAACAATGTTGTAAATGCCTTGAATTGTATCTCGTGGCTCTATTTGATTTCAGTGCCACAACCAAAACGAAATCCCGGTGGCATTCCTCTATTTTATTATTTTACTAGGTGAGGTATTTTTTCTAAAAATTATTTTACTGGAATGGGGTAGAAGATGAATGATTTTTTAAAATTAATTTTTAACAAATTTATGAAGAATCTGGGTAGTATTTGTGTTGATTGATTTTTGGGTGTTTATGAAGAACAATGATAAATTCTAAATTTATCGTGCTTTTGATTGGTTGAAGACAAAGGGTGATTTTGATGTGGTGAAAAAATTGTTGCTAAATATTTTGGATTGGTAAAAATATGATGGACTCATCAAATTTTATAAAATAAAGTATTGGTTAGAGATGATGATACATGAAAGAATAATAGTGAAATTCAATTATGGAAGATATTTTAAAAGAAAAATAATGATAAATCTCATAATTTGTGTTAAAGATGATCATAATAAAGAAATATTGAAGATTTTTAAATACTAATTAATTATATTATTTGTAATGTTTTCTAAGATTAATTTTTAGTATCATAAAATAAATTATTTATATATTTTAATTAAAATAATGATGTGGATTATTTTTAAATAAGGGTTTGTTTGTTTCGACTTTAAATAAATGAATTTTTTTATTTGTATTTTTAAAAATGAATTTTATAAAATTGTTTTTCAAAATATTATAAATGTTTTATATTTGTTTATTTTAAATTGAAAGACTAATTTTGATATTCTATAATATAAACATACATTATTGAAGATTAAAATATAGTCGAATTTGAAATTTTAAAAAAAATTATATTTTAAAAATGATTTTTATAAAAAACTTGAAAATTAAGTGATTTTTTTAAAATTTTGATATTCAATTTTTTTTTTACTAAAATGATGAAATATTTAAAATAAAAATAACTTTTCAAATTAAATTTTCATTTGAAACTATTATAAAAAATTTCTTTGCAATTTTTTTTTACACAAAATTATATTATATTAAAAAAATTATTTAAAAAAAAACCCAAAACAAACTAACTCTAAGTCACATCATTAAAATTGAGGAGGAACTAAAAAATATTATTTAAGGTGAATACTTAGGTATTCTTGAGTTTAGTTGAATATCAATATCCTCGTTCAATCAAATACTATTATTTAATGATAAGTTATTATTTACAATTCTTTTTAATTTAAAATAAATTTAAAATTCTAAACTAATTTGCACTAAAGACTTATTGTGATACCTAAGAATTTACCATTATTTAAACATTCAACCATGGTTTAACATGAAAACCAAGGGAGTGAAAATTACAAGTAACTAACTAACTGAATTAAATCACATATGTATCTCAGAACAAACTACATAAAGAGAAGTTAGTTAGTAATATTTTTGAGCATACAAATTCCAAGCACACTTTCTTTCCAACTATGCCTAATCTGTTCTCTTCCATCCAGCAGAGTCCACGTATCGGAAACCTACACATTGAATAGTTCAGATGCACACTCATCATTCATACTCCTTCTTCCACTATCATTATCTCCATTCGAGACACAGTTCTTTTCCTTCAGTAGTCCCAAACAAACACCCGTTCTTGACAAGGCAAGTGCAACTTCATCGTTTTCTTGAATTCTGCTTTTCATATATCTTGATGCAAATGTATTATTATCTTTATCATGACAATTTACGTTGTATATTCTTTTTGGTGTTTCACAGCTATCCATATTTTCAACTTTTAGTCTTTAAATCATTTGGAGAACCAAAGAAATTAACCAAAATCTCAATCTCGTTCATAGAACAAGGTTAGTGCTAATTAATAATTTTTTGTTGATGAGATTCCTAATTGTTGTGACTTTGAAGTTTGAATATTCTATTGGCATTGCTCTCATGTCATCATGATCAATATTTGTTATGTACTCCTTTTCAGTATTGTATAGGAAAATGAATTTGTTGAAAGAGCCAACTAGGATGGTTATGATGATTGGGTTGAGCCTCTCAAACATTTCCTTAGTCTGTCTAAAGTGGACATGGCTCTCACTGAAGTATTTCTTGAAGCTATTGGTAATAGAATCAGGGAATTGGTGGCACGGAGAAACAGAAGAAAAAAGAACGAGGGAGAGAAATATCACATTTGGGATTAGAGCTAGTGTGGAAGTTGAGCATATTGGACTTGTTTTCTTGTAATGGTCACCAGCAGTGTAATGGATTCTAGCCAGTAGCATAGTATTAGTGGACTTTTGCAAAATGTTGACTCAATAATCATCTCTAGATAGGTTTTGTTCTACTTTCAGTTTCTTTTGTTCAACTTCGAAATAATTGATTGTATGTTTGTTGGCTATGTGAATCCTAACAATAAAGCTGTTAATTACTTTTGCTAGTAGACTTGTATGTTAATGATGAATGTGGAGACTATAAGCGGTTGTTTTTCCAAAGTGCTATTTTGATGTATCAATGGCCACAACAAGTCACATAAACAAATATATCTTTCTTCAGAAATAATTTTGTAGAAAACATTGTATAGTAAAATAGTCTTTTAAGTCTCATGGATTCCGGATTATCTTTCTCTGGGATATGCACAACACAATGTTGGTTTCAGCAAGTTTTTCCGGAAATTCCCTTACTCCATCGATAGAACACTTGTATGGAAAGTGTTCTGAACTGGACCTATCCTTGACCCAACTACCAGTGAAGCCCAATCCAAGCTTGCCAACCTGTTGTGCCGAACAGTATTTTCACCGAGCACACCTCAATCACAGAGGTCTGGTCGACTATGACTGCTCCCCACCGGTGCTCGCGGAGACCGTCTCCGACGAACACGCGCTCTCCCCGAGCACCTTTCTCGTAGGGATGACTTTCAATCTCTTCGGATTTCGCGGAGTCTTCATGGTCCCGGAAAGATCGCGTCTCTATCCTCCCTGTCTTGCGGAGGACGTCATCCAGGTAGGGGGCCACGTGCGAGTCCCCACTACACACGTAGAACCTGACAGTCTCTCTGTTGGGCCTGTTTGATCAGTCCAATAAAGAGACCTTGACCCAACGTTGGGGGTTATAAATACCCTCTCTTTCGAGAGGGTCAAGTATTCATTCAATCACACCTAAAACTCATACTTGCTTGCTCATTCCACTTCTCACTTTGCCATCAGAGTGTCTTGCAGGTATCCCCCATCTCATTCAAGTTCAGCCTGAAGCCAACTGTGACGGTCCAACTCTGATCAGGTTAGATCAGTGGCGCCGTCTGTGGGAATCTAAGCTTCCCCGTCTTCTCTTCACTTAAAAGACCAAAGCTAAACCATCCTCGACTGTCATGGCTGACCAGACCCAGGACAACCAGAACGCCTGTGTCATCGACGCTAACAACAACATCACCGACAACAACGCCAGCATCGACAATGCCGGTACCGCCGGCCATAACACAGTCTCTGGCGTCAACATGTCCGGACCTTCTAATTATAGGGATGGGGCCACGACTTCTTCTTCATCAATCCCTCCTCGACTTGAAGAAGATTGACCACCTCCCCTAAACTATCCACCCGTCCAATTTCACGAGTTCCCCTTCCCCGTCGAGGCAGATGCCACGACCAGGGCACTGTTCGTGGCGATCAATCAAACCAACTATCTCATCTTCGCCCAGGGGGAAAGATTGAGAGCACTCAAGGACAATCGAAGGCCTCTGAGAAGACACAGGAGACCCCAATCTCATTCCCATCGATAAGCGGACGAACGTCCTTAATCTCCCTCGCGGAGACAGAATCAGGATATCTCCAGAAGCCCGTCGCACCGACCACTCGGGCGACGACCCCCTTTGGATAGGGAACCACTCATCGACACGGGAAGATGCGACTATGGCCCATCACGGCAAGAACGAAGACCCCCCAGAGACAGACACATGGGAAACCATCAACGGTCGTACCGCCCAAGGAACGCTCCGCGCGATCAGGGCCACCTTGACCGCCACTACGTCGAATCTCCATCCGGCTCTCCCGAACAGAGTGACAAGGACGACCCCCACGGTCCCTTGTCACAAGCTATCATGGACGCGCCCATTCCCACGAGCATGAAGAAGCCTCCCCACTTAAAGGAGTACGACGGTATCGTCGACCCGGTCGACCATATAGACGGGTTCGAAGCCACGCTGCACTACCACAACATCGGGGGACCGATCAAGTGTCGGTTGTTCCCCACAACTCTGAGGAATGCGGCTATGGACTGGTACAAAGGTCTCACCTCGGGGTCAATTACCTCTTGGCGAAACCTGAAGAACCCGTTCATCATCTCGTTTGCTATTTCGCAACGACACCCGAAGACCGAAGCAGCACTCGAGGCCATCGTCCAGAAGCACGATGAGACCTTGAGAGAATTCATTGACCGCTTCAACCGGGAAGCTATCCAGGTCCCCTGCACGGACCATATGAAGATATACCTGTTGGAGAGGGGGCTCCTCCCCGGCACCGAATTCAGAAAAGCCGTAGGCATCGAACCACCTCGAATGTTTGATGCCCTCCTCAAAAAAGCCAGGGCCTACATGGACTACGAGGAGAGAGAAGCGGCCAACAGAGCCCAAGACCCTAGAAACCGCGGATCCAGCAGCAATCCGCGACAAGACATCGCCCCACCTCGACGAACTGGAGAGAAGATAAGGGATGATAAACCCCGAGACGCCCGGGAACAAAGGGGGCCCTCGGGGAGGTTCACCGAATACACTCCGCTTACGGCTTCCCGTGAGCGCATCTTAGCGGAGTGCGCAAGTACACACTTCAAGGACGACATCGTCAAACGTCCCCACCCCGCTCCTTCCAAACCCGGGGTGGACCGAAGCAAATACTGCCAGTACCACCGGAGCCACGAGCACCTGACCGAAGACTGCGTCCACCTCAAAGACGCCATCGAGACCCTCATAAAAGGGGGGAAACTTGCATAATATAGGCGAAATGATGCTCCTCGTCGGGAGGCCCGGGAGACGAGGGAAGAAGTAGAGGATACCCGACCATCTGACGAGTCGGTTCCCATTCAAACCGCTTTCTCCGTCACAAGACCCGAGGACTTCTACATCCCCGAACACTTGCAAGAACTTCTGTCTATGCACAACAGGTGGGAAAACTTCCCCTCCGCCATGGTCATCAATGGTGGAGGGTTCAATGGTTTGACCATAAATTCAGCTAAGAGGAAGCTGGACGAGCTGGTCGATACGGCTCCCCCCCAAACGGTGACCTTCGAAAGGGTGAAAGGAAGACCAGAGCCGATCACCTTCTACCTCGAGGAGCTCCCTGGAGGGCCCCCCAATTCGGATGATAAGGGCGAGAATGGCCAACTTCGACATACATCGCATCCTCGTCGACGGGGGAAGTTCCGTCGATGTGATGTACATCCAGTTGTTCAGAACCCTGCAGCTCGATGACTCTCACCTCTCACCATACGTGGGGTCAGACATGCAGGGCTTTAACGGCTCGACGTCTAAGCCTTGGGGATACGTCGAGCTTATGGTCACGTTCAGAGAGGATACCGCTACCAGGAAGGTCAAGGCACGCTTCCTCGTCATTGATTTCCCGTCCCTCTACAATTGCATTCTCGAAGGCCGACACTGGCAGAGCTGACCGCGGTGCCCTCCACCGTCCATTTGAAGATGAAGTTCTACACCAAAAGAGAACGGGTCGCCACTTGTGATCGGTGGAAATAGAACTGACTGTTTTTAGCTGGTTTCGCGAAATGTCACAGAAGCAAGAGTCGTCACCGTCTTTTATTTTCTCCAACAAGGAAAGGACAAAAGCACAGCAAAATTCCTTATGAGATATGTTTCTCGGTTCGGGAGGTAGATTTATAGAAAGGGAAGGTATTAGCACCCTTTCTATCCATGGTTATCCATGGGCTCTTAGGTACTTGCTCTTATGTTTTCAAAATTTGTTTGCTTTTCAAGTGTGTGTGGGTTTTGAAAAAGTTCGTTTGAAAACTTCTAGGTAACTCTTGTATCAGTCCTCAAGAGTGTATGAAGTATTGTTTGAAAACTTTTTAAAAGTGTAAGGTGTGAAAAGTATTTTGTTTGTTTTTGAAAAGAGTAAGTACCCATGAGTCATCTACCTACCCTAAGGAATTAAGCTGTGTAAGTGTCCTTTAGGTAGTGCCATCCCACCATTGAGAGGTAGGTAGCACCACCGTTGGAGGTGTTCGGGTCAATTCGAGTGTAGGGACAGTGTGGTCATCGAAGCAACAGTAGGACACCTTAGAAGCTACCCTTATGTCCTTGATCCCTTTTTAATCCGAGGCAACCGTTTCGAGGCAACTGTTCTGAGGCAACTGTTTCAAGGCAACTGTTCCGAGGCAACTGTTTCGAGGCAACTGGATCATGGACATAAGGACCGCTAAGACGTCCTATACTTGACAACCACGTTTCGAAGGCAACGAGTGAGGCGTACCCTAGAAGTGGTGTGTGCATTGTGTGTTGTTTTCATGTTATGTTTGTCTTTGTAACTAGTGTGCTACGAGTTGTTTTTATTTACATACATTCTTTCATGCAAGTTTAGCAGTTAAGGGGTGCAGAAAGTAAATTGCAGAAAAATAAATCCTACGCTATTACAAGGCGCGGGTCTATACATCGCCAAAAAATTACAAAGACCCGTTTTTTAGTAAATAAGTACGGAAAATAAAAAAAAAACAGTAAAAGGTCCTATTTACTATTACATATCCGGAGCAATTACATAATAATCGAACAAATTAAATACGCGCGAATAAAGAAAAGGGAATTAATTTTTGTCTTTTTTTGGTAATTAAATGAAATTGAAAACTAATTAATTATTTTAATTACAAGAAAATATTTTTGATTTTTTATATTTTTTATGAAATAAAATAGAAATAAAAGAAACAAAGTTAAAGATTAACCTAAATCTAGATCTATTTTAATTTATTAAAAGGAATGTTAAAATGGCCTAATTAACAACTAATTCAATTATGATTTATTTACAAAATAATAAATAATAATAAAAAGTGTTAATTATATTTTTCTTTTGTTTTTTATGAAAATGTTAGTTAAATTAACTTAATGATAGAGTAATTATTTTTTGGTGTTTTTTGGATCAATTTTAATAACTAAAAGCAAATAAAAGTCAAATTAATGATTATTTAACAATTAATTAAAATATGCATGCAAAAATATTATTTTTAATGTCAAAAGTTAAATAAACATTTTTTCTGAT